TTATAAAGTTATTTGATGCCTTGGTATCAGCATTTGTCTTTTTATTTTTATTTTAACTGTTATCTTAAAACTAACATTCAGGATATTTAACAGAGAAATTTAATTTCAAATTCACAATTTTACAAGCTACTCTTTTTTTAAACCATAAAAGTTTTGGGTAACTTTTTGACAATGCCAGGTAATTTGGGGTATTGCCCTACTGATCCTCTGCTCTTTGGTTAACATGACAGTGTGATCCCTAGGCCACAAATAAACCTTGTTTTGCCTGTACCATTCAAGGATCTGCAGCTATGTTGGTGGAACCTATTAAAAGCCAAGCCAAGACACTCAGTGAATATGTTAAAAATTCTACCTTGTCCTAAATAAGATGGTCACTTCTAAAAGGACAATGTTATATCCTACACAGGAATTTTTTTATTTAAAGTCATAGTTTTATAATGACTTCTTCCCTCTATCATTTGAGGGGTAGAAATGAGATATTCTGGTTTAAAATCTTAATGAATCTTGGTGGTCACATATCTATTACCCATGCATTTTTGCACCTTCCAGGAGATGTCATTTCTGTTTAAATCACACAAGTTATAGCAATGTCCACATCAGATGAAAGTCACCAAGAATTATGACAGTAACACTACCCTGGAGAATTTACAGCTTAAAAATACAAACTTTCATCCATCTGTGTTTTTTAAACACTTGTAAAATATGTATTAAAAATTCTGTGATTTTATTTCTTGTAACTATGCCAATTAATAAACATTTTGACATTGGTGATATTTTAATCACTTTGTTGCTCATAAAACCTTACAGAGCAATTTAATGTGGCTGAGCTCCCCTTGTCCTGATGTCTTATAAAGTGGAAGTCCCTCCAGTGGTCCCGTATATCTGACATCCCTCAACTCTTCCCTGTAGAGTGAATGAGTCTCATTACAGATCGTTTCTTCTAAGTAGGTTCTGAACACATAGGGCTCTGTGGCCTTTGGCTGTATGCCCTCAGCTTTACAGAGCAAAAATGTCCTAGACATACCATATAAACACTCACTTCAAGCTACTGTGATCCCATAAGTAGCTCATGAGTGTGCAGTATTTGAAAAAGAGATGGAGGAAAATGACCATCTAAAGTGTAAACTGCACCTCTTTACCCCAATCTGATCATTGATGGGGTCTTTGCAGAAGCTCTGAACATCACTTGAGTCTCACTGACTCTATACTGAGGTCATTGAGAGTATCTTGGGGCTAGAGTATTATGTCAAGATCACAACACATCTAGATTCCTTCACCTTAACACTCTAACAAACAGCAAACAAACAAAAATGTCTCCACCTTACACTGTTTTATTGAACACAGGAAATCCTGGATGGTAGGCCATCGTTTTCTCCCCAGTCAGAAGCCTAAGGCACGAAAAAGTTCCTGAACGTCAGGAAAAACGAGGTTCTTTTTTTCCTCAATACTTGAGCACTTTCATGTGGGCCTCTTAAAAAGACAGGGGAAAAACAGCTCAAAGCATTTAAAACTAAGTATTGACATGGTAATTATTCCAGTGAGTGAGAAGAGGAGGAAACCTGTCCCCTGAGAGGCTTGCACTGTGAACACTTCGCTAGCTGCCTTTGCAGACATTATCCTGTCCAGTGCTCTGAAGCCTCCTTAGAAATTATCTCCAGGATTGCATGAGATCCATTTCACAAAAGAAGGACGAGATTTTATGAATATTTGCATAATTTTCCCAAGATGACACACAAGGTACTTTAGAGCACCACCATTAGATAGATCCCTTTGTCAGACTTCAGAAAAGGTTGTCTGCTTTCTGCCTTTGTTGTAAAGCCTTGAAAGGTCTTGGTAAGTGCATGATACAACTTAACATTAATCATCCTAAACTTTCTTATCCATTAGCCCCATACTGTTTCTAATCCAGTAAGATCTGGCATTAAATCCTGATCCCAGTTCCAAAGTCCAATGTCCAGCTTTCCACATGAAGCCTGCATTATTCCTCACAGGCCTCTTCTAGGCCAGTAGCAGCGCCCACAAAGAGAGCAATGGGAATGACCACCATTCTGTAAACGAAGCAGTCATTTTCTCCATGTTGGTTTAGTTTGCAGAGCTGGATTTCTGATCAACTCTCTCTGAGTTCTGAGAGATAGCCTGGCTACCACAAATCCCGGCCTATAACCTAGTACCCTGAGACAGTGCAACCTGCCAATCTGTGTCTTCTGGGCACCGAATCCTCTCAGTGGCCTGGCCAAGCTCCTCAGTTTGCATTCCTCCAGTCCTAACACGCTGCTTGTCTTTGGGGTTCCAATGTTTCTACAAATCAGAGGTTACAGACAAGGGCCCATAGACTCCACAGAGGTGGTTTAAATGAGTAAAGGTGGAGGGACAACCTGAGGTGAGCTAGAGCAGGGTTGGTGGGTTTATGGCTCTACAGGGGAAAGCCGCTAGCATGTAACCCTTTGAGAATGGGGGTCCAGTGTTATCACTTTTATGGATTTTTAACAAAAGATAAAAATCCCAACTTTTATGTAAAATTGGTAACTAATCCAGTGGTATTTTTAAATACTACATGAACACATAAACCTGGATACTACCCACGGTCCTTCAGTTTATGATTTCTGCCTCAGATAATTGTTCAGCCTTGGCTTAAAGGTATTATTCTCACAGACTGAAAAGCCTTACTTGCAATAGAGGTGAGTCAGCAACATAAACTGATGCTTTAGAATTAATTATGGAAATTCTGATAACCACATCAGTGCATTGCTGAAGTAGTCTACAGCAACTAATATCAGGAGATATTTCTCTATGAATCTCTCATGTTTCTACATGTCCTGTGAGCAGAGACACCGTCAACCTTTGCTTCAGACAATCTGTTCAGGAATGTTTATGTAACAGGCAGCCTTGGAAGAGAGATGGAGAGTCTTTCCTTAGAGCAATGCTGACTTCCCATTGTAAAATATTCATGTTTCCTAAACTCAGGGTTCCTCTCATACACTGCAACCTACTGCCCTACTTGTGTCAGTCTGAGTTGAGCCTCAGGGATCCAGTGAAAATGCTAATACACTGACAACTGTTACTGTGCTTACTAAGTCCTTGGTCTCTGAGCCAGGAGTTTCATGTCCTCTGTGTGCATCTATATACACTGCAGACTGACATGTTAGATTGCAAATAGGGTAAAATCTCAGGTCCTTCATAGTTCTTGACAGTTGATACTAGTTTTTCTTCATCCCTAAACTCTGGCTATAGCATATACTCAGAAATTAAAAGCTACTGTCTTCTATATTGGTTACTACATTTCCCTGAATCACTATATCTCTATCTTGCTTTTGAAAGTACAACATTACTTTATGCTCCATCAAAACAGTCAAGAGCTCCATCATTTCAAACACCTAAATCTTGGCCTCCATCTTTGCCTTCAGAAAATAGCTTGGTGTTGAGCAATAAAACCAAATGACTAAGCAAACAGGCTGTCAAGCTATACTGCCTGTGTTTGAAACTACTGCCACCTACTGGCTGTATTCCCTTAGACAAATTATTTAATCAACTCATCCCTCAGTTTCCTTATCTATAACATGAGAATAATAATAGTAACTAACTCCCAGCATTATTTGAAAATTAAATGAGTTTTTATGTGCTTAGAATAGTATCTAGTACATATTGAGAAGGCAATGTGACTGATTACTCAATTTAATATTTTTTCAATAAACTCAGTAAAGGGCTCACCTTAAAAGCAGGCTGTTTGTAATTTACGGTCTAATTCTATCACTTGGAAGATGAATGGTAAATAATTCAGGGCTGTGTATGTGCTTGGTCCTTCCTAAATTCAAATCCTCAAAAGTTTAGAGATGTATTATTTCCCTTTTGAAAAACCAACACCTCCCATTTCAATCTTTTCCAAATGACATGAAAAACCAAGCACCTACCCCTCTCCAGTTGAATTGTAAATGGGCAAATGTGTACAAGACGTACAAATGTGCAAATAAAGGTTTCATTCAGAATGTCAAACCACTCTTTCCTGCATGGCCTTGTATACTCAGGATGCCTAACTCTCATCACACAAATATTACCAGTTTTCTTCACAAGCGTAACCAAAACCTCAATTCACCCAAATATCGCTTGTCTGAAGCAACGTTTCCATGGGTGTTCTCACTGTGCTATGGCACAATTAAAATGAAAATTCCAAAGGGGTAAAAGAGAAAGAGGAAAAGCTACAAAAATCTGATTTGATTTTCCGACACTCTCCCCCTCCCCATTTCCAAGGAGCTAATCCCCTCTCCAACAGTACAATAGAATAGCTGGACATAAAGGAAAGGAGATAAAACTGGCCGCCAGCGCATTGTTCCTGCTAATCTGCGCCATTTACATAAGGGTTAGAAGGCTTGTTTTATCATTTAAACAGGCTTAAAAGCCTCTTTGCAAATGAGACTTAGTTCCTACAAAGGAACAAATTCTAGCTATTGGGTGAGTTTCTGCTGGACCAGCACTGGGAGCTGACTTGGCAGTAACTTAAGCTACTTCTTTGGCCACATACAGTCTATGCAAAGATTGCTTCCAGCTGCCAAAACTGAAAAGCGTCAAGCTGATTAAATTCTTTCCAGGAGGTGAATGGGATAAGGAGCAGGTTAAGAGACCAATAATATTAGATCTTAGACTGTACCTGGGCTAACTTGTGCTCTGTGCAGGTGTTTTTAAAAGTGGCTTTGAACTTTTAGAGCCCCTTGAATCTTCCTTTTTGAAAGGGAATGGAAGGGAAGCCCACAAATGCAATTCAGAAACAGAAAGACTTAAAATAGTCTTAAACTGTAAGCTGAAGGCAATCTAAACTCTTTGATTAGTTGTTGTCTGAGTGGTGATGAGCACAGCAATAAATGGCAAAACAAACTCTCCTGCCAATGTGAGCACAAGATAACTACAAGGAACAGTTTTCTTTACACCAAGTACAAGCTTTGCCTCAAAACCGTAGCTTTTGGAATTAAAATCACATTTATATATACTATACCCATGAATTGTTTTACCTGGCACACCTTGAACAGATGTTCAGTGTGACCTTGGCCTGAGGTTCAGCAGGGTGAGTAGCACGACCTTGGTTAAATTTGCTCCCAGAAGGTACCAGAGTAGTTACTCCCTCCATTCTTAAATCATCAAGATCCTCTGTAACAATACAAGCAATTACAGAGAGAAAAATTAATTTTAATAGTATTAGGGAGAATAGTCCATGTGTGCAGGTGTCTGCAAGCAGTTTGTAAAATAAAACATTACACATTTCCGCTTTGCAATAATCTTACCTCATGCATCAATTATTTTTTAATCATTTCTAGATGTAGTTGGAGACAAATTATATGAGAAGATTTACAAGAAGCCAGACCACAACCTCTGCAGCAACTGGCCCCAAGTGGTTGGGACTTGGTCAATGACTACCAGCTTCCCTGTTTTTGTCTTTGCTTCCAACTCAAAACCAACCAGAAAAAGACAAATACGTTCCCAAACTGGTTACATAACATCCTTTGCTTCTAATTAGCCTGCCTTCTGCTTCCTCATCCAACAATCTCCAACCAGAACATACCTGAAGCTTTTTCTCTTTTCCCATTCTAAACCTTTCCTTCATGTCTTCACCTGGGGAAGGCAACAGCATACTGGGATAATTGGGTCCCAGTTGTTCTCTGAAGTCCCTTCCTATGTTTCCCAGATTCTCAATTAAGACTTAAAATATCTAAGTTTCCCTTGTAATTCAGTCTTGGTACAATAGTACATGATCTCCTGCTTTATTCACAGAACAAGGAATCTTATCAAAGGGATTTAATTTACTTACTCCTAGACTTAGTAAAAAAAAGTACATAAAATTTCAAAAGATAAATTATAACTTTGTCAAAACATAATCCATTTCTGAGTTTATAACTGATATAAGGAAGGCAATCGCTCGATAAGGCTGTAGAGGATGCAAACACCTTAGGCCTCTCATAAAACAACTGAGAGGATTTCTGTTCTTAACTAAATACTGTAAACAGCAAGTGTCAAATTTCCTGAGACTGCGACAACTCTTAGGTCATGAACTGACTTTCTGTAACCTGAGAAAGGACTGTCAACAGAATCCTTCCATAGGCATCCCCACCTAAAACTCCTCTCATCTACAGGAGCAATGTGGGCAGGGCCTTAGGTATTTAACTCAACTTCCTAGGAGTCATCAAAAACTCAACTCCTTGATGTGGCTGCAAAGGCTTATTCCCTTGTGTTAGGGAAAGAGCTGCCACTTCAAAATTCTCCTTAACTAGTTATACACTCTGCTCTTGGTCTCACGGATACCCATGCAATACAAACATCACTATTGCCTGAGAACATCCAGCACTTCTCAGCTAATTAACTTCTCATGAGACTGTGTTAATTCTGAGGGAGCTCTCACATCACTCTTCACCACTGCAACACCCTGATCCTACCAGAAGGGAACCTCATAATTTTCTTATACCAGTTAGGGAACTTGTCTACCTTACTCAGTTTTTTAAGAACTCCCATTGAAAACTTGACATACTATTATTTTTTGATGGCTCATACATCAAAACTTGAAACTATACTGGAATACAAAGTGTTGTAACCCTTTGTATTACAACACTTACTTGAGCTTGTCAATTAGCCAAAGGCCACAGAATAATATATACAGGAATGCTTTTTTTAAAGCATTATAATATATATTATACATTATAATATATAATATATGAGAATAATATATACAGGAATGCTTTTTTTTAAAAGATATGAGTTTGGGATGCTTTGGAAACAAAGGTGTTTTCAACTCTTCTGAAAACCTACCAAAAGTGAGTAAGACATGTTTAAGACATGTTTAGATATTCTCCTTCTTCATAAAGATGTAGCTATTATAAAAGTTGGAGCTCATGAAACAATAGATAATAATGAAGCTAAAGAAAATACTTTAGTAGATCATTTTACTATGCAAGCAGCCTTAACCAAAGTTGTCATGCTATATGTAAAGTCTTAAAGGATAAGAAACTACTATGAATATCAACATTTAGATAGTTTCAAGTAGAGAGTTGCTAAATTTCTCTATGAAACTACTCATCATAGCATAGATGAATTGGTTACTGAGTGAAATCAACATGGCTAGGGAAACTTTCAAAGATAGTGGAGGTCAGTTTAAAGTCATGTATCCTTTGTCAACCAACATAATTCTAGAAAAGCTAGAAGGTGGGATACGGCCAGGAACAAAGCTTCAAGGGCCCTTCCAATAGCAGATGAATTTGATGCAGCTCCCACACTCGGTAAGATTTTAATGTTTCAGTTATTATATGTCTGCTTTCGGGATGGGTTGAAACATCTCTTTGGCAAAAAGCTACAGTCTTTATAGTTGCTAAAAAGCTGTATGATTCTTGGTTTTCAATTTTGGGAATACAGACTTTTATATCCAGGACCCAAGGTACACACTTCACAAGAAACATAAAAAAGAACTCCTCACTCAGAAACCTGAAACCATGATGCTCTTACCATCTACAAACTTCTAGAGAGGTGGCAACAATAACATTCTTAGATGAATTTAACGAAACTTTCAGAAACACTTGAGCTCCCACAGGCAAAGGTAGTCCAACTGCCTTGGAGACACATTGTTTACGTCTCTATGAACCGGTGACCGGAAGGCCAATGTGCTTAAGGATTTTACTGTGATACTTTACTCTCTGTACTCAGACACTGTAAAATATTGTGAGACATCCACGTGCCACACCCAGTCCTGCCACCAAAAGTTAGGGTCACACTTAAAATATCTTTAGCAGCCTCTTCATGATATTCAACTATAAGATTTTGTCTGTTAGAAGGTACATCTGATAAAGACTGCTCTTGAACCTCATGAAAGGGATAATAGTATCCAATACTATTAACAACAACAACAGAAGTAAACGTTTCTGGAGTAAATCCTTGTGCTTCACATTTCACAACTAAAGATGCAGTCTAGAATTAGGAAAACAAAAAGGCTACTATAATAGGGGACCTCAAACAGGATTCTTCAGAATAATCATGACCTCAGAGAGTGGACAGCTTTTGCCCAAGATGTTGGATAAAAACCCCTACTAATTACTTACCCCTACTGATTACTTCTAATCATTATGCTCATTCTCTGTAGACTCCTGGGTGTTGTCCACCGTGATGACCCTTTTTCCCTCTTCTGTTCTGTTCTTATTAAATTGCTAGATCGGAGCATAATCATTCTAACACCAATCTCAGATTATCCAGCTAATGTAAGGCCTTGGTTCCAACACAATGTCATGAGCCACTGCATTTAACCTGGGTACCTGTGTGTTCCCAACAGACACCACTTCCTTTGCAGCCAGGATAGCCGGGCTTGCTTCCCTGTACTCATGCACTTTCGGAATACTATTACAAAAATTATCTGTATACAGACACCCTAATTCTATAAATCATCAAACTGGAAATTATAATTCAGATGGGAGCTCCAAATGAGACTACCTCGATTATTCAGGCACTTTACCTGGGGGAGTTTCGGAGTCATTGTTTATGCAAACAATCAAAGAAGTGTTTCCAATAATAGAAATCATACAAACACAAGACTCTAAGACGTGTATCATTTTAACTCTGACAGAAGTTATAAACAATATTACCCGTCCCCTAGGTGAAATACAGATCACTCAATTCCTGGGCAAGATCAGTGATGAACAATCTGGATTTCATGTTCACTAGTCATGGTAGTATCTGTGCCACTGCTAATACTTCCTGCTCTAATTCAACTCACCAAAACAGGTGTGGCAGAAAAGTTATATATCACCTTAAGGAAAAAGCTACCTGGTTTTCCTAAGATTAATCCTTATTACCTGTGGGATTCTTTTCTTGGCCTTGGTCGAACTTTTCAGAATTTTGGTTCTGAAGCATCTTAAATGGACTTTTAATTGAATATGTTTTTACCATAGTGGTCGTAATGTCAGGCTATTGAATGTTATCATCTTAACCTTAATCTTAGTGCTGATACAGGTCTTAAAAGCTTCTGTACAGCACCACCTCATCAGGTGCTCACTATGATAATACAGCCTCGAAAAGCTCTAGAAGCCCTTGTGATAAATACAATTGACTATGGAGACCAGTGAATACTCCTCAAGCGGTAAAGATCTGGATCTCTAATCTTACCTTTTGGCCAATTTCCTGTGAGAAAGGGAAGAACCAAAAGAGGGAACTGAGAGACTGAATATACAAACACCCAACAGACAGATCACCTATGATATTAGAACACTGACCTACAACCTCTGCTGGAATTAACCAGGGAGGCCAAACCACAATCTCTGCAACAGTTGGCCTGAAACGTTCAGTACCTGGTGAATATAGGCCAGCTTCCCTCCTTTACCCTGATTTCCAAATCAGGGCCAACCATAGAAAGCCAAATATGCTCCCAAAGCCTCCCCCGAGCCTCCCTGTGTCAACTTCTAATCAGAACACACCTCCAGCCTCTTCCCTCCTGTTTAATTTTGGCATTATAAAGCTTCCCAACTTTCCCACCTGCCTTGTGTCTCAGGCAAATGCAAGTGATGGGGGGTAACTGCCTTGCTATAGGAAGCTCTGAATAAATAACCTCTGCTTATTCTCATTTAAATGGTCTTTTCATTCATTTCCTTAATTGCAACCTTCAAATATATAACGGTTTCTGACATGGAAGAGGTATCACAGTTCCTGATGTGGCTTCAGAGAAGAAATGGGTCTAAGAAGAGGGAAAGTTATTTCTGAGTGGACATAAAAACAATTCTCCTACATTTGTAGGTATAATGGCACATTGTACAGTGCTATGTGGGAGATGTGGGTATCCCGTCCATGGGGTATTTAAAGCAGGGGCTGGATACTTATTTATAGTGGACGGCTTAGAAGTGTGCATAACATTTTACTGCGTGATCTCTACAATGGAGTCCAAACTTAAGCTTCTTTCATACTTTCTCATTAGTATTCTCTGATGGATTTAGGACATACCTGATTGTGATAAAAAGAGGGAACTGAATGTTTAAAAGCAGATTGTTTGTGTAAATGAAACAACACTCTCTTGGAGGCCATATTACTATGAATTACACCAAAAAGTTGCTTCCTCAGTTTTATTTTTTGAGCTGCAAAGCACGCCTCACTGACTTATTAATGAGGTGAGTACTGAGTTATTCCAC